AAGTTTTGGCCATCCGACTTTCTGCTAAATCAGCAAGTAGCCGCATCGCCTACACTTCAGGCGTTTTGGCTTGACCCTCCGATTGTGTATCAGGGTAATATGATCGAGGATCTCGATGGAATTCCTTCCTTTAAGCGAACGACATACTGATTAAAAAACTTGAATGATCTCACTGGCGAACAAAATATTTCTGTTTCTTTTATCGATCAGACTTCTCTCAATCGCAGAAACGCATCCACACAGTAGAATTACTCATGTTTCAGTCAGACCTGTCTGCATAGGCATGACTACCGATATACATTTGTGACTCTCCAGTGTAGTGCGATTAGTCGCTTGAATGTGACGCATCGAGATTTTTGCTTTTATAAAGCGTTTCTCTCCAAGAAAATGAAGAAGATCTAAAAGGTCTATGACATCGCTTGAGTCCACTGCTGATGAGACTTGTCAAGCGTGTAGTTCTATCCTGTTGTATCTACAGGGGTGAAAACATCTGACAAAATCCATACTGGACCAGTTATTTGAAACATTAGCAATTCAGATCGTGTCGGGATCTTTGCCTTCGATTTGTTCTCAATACGAAAAACGACATCTCCTGCTATCTTGATTAGTATATGAAACAGGTACAAGTTTATCGTCATTAGTTTTTAGTAGGATAGTATTTGCGACTCTCTGGTTTTTTGGGAAACGGAGTTTGTCCTCCGCATGGAAGAAGGAAGACTGCTTTATCGATCGAACGTATGCTACCTCTGATTCGAAGTGTCGCCATAACAAATATTTTTTAGTGAGAGCTATAATGTATTTTTATACAGTCGAACTCACTTAAATAAATAAAGTTTAAATCAACAAATATGTATTGATCCGAATAATGTACACCTTGATAAATCAGCGCCACTTTTATTGATGAATTCATCAAATTCGAGAGTCACCGCTATATCCTCACCACTCGCCGTATCACAATCAAATGCATCAATAGTCACATGCTTACATTCTCAGCCTTCTACTCAGACGTCACGTTTTCTCAATAATGTTATATCTCCATCAATGAATGAGGAATGTTTAGGAGTCGCGAATCTTAAGTTTTTGCAAACGACATTATCAGCTACGAACGATGCTGTTAAACAAAAGAATGAAACAGCAATCAATGATCTTGACCAATCGATGCGTGCAATAACTCCCATAAACATGCAGTAACTACAACTGATAATATGACTGGACAAGGAACATGTCGGCTAGGAACGCGCTCATTTGAATCTTAAACATTGTAGAGGAAAAAGAGAAAATTTTGCGAAAATTTTCAGGTTTTCCTTTTATTAAAAAAAATTATCCCTCTGTGCACCGGCCGTAACACGCGAAAGAGTCTGCGTTCACTAATTTCGATGCATAACGAAATTCAGTTCTACTCATTCTGCTGACGTTATATATACCTTATTTTTATTGAACTTTTTGTGTTTTGAGGTGATGAAAATGAAGAACTAGAAGCGCAATTTCTTGTGTTTTGTTACCCGTAAAGTATTTCAGAAAAAATCGCTATGTAATTAGAGAAATTCCAGATAATAGAAATGTGCTTAAACGAAGAAGTTGCAACTTGAAAGTCAGGATCTAGAGGTTATCCATCATGCCGAATCCAATGGTAATATCAATTTTCTTTCAGTTTAACTCTCATAATGAGATTCTGGAATACCTGGTTTTTGAGCTTACAGTCCTAGTAAAAATCTTAGACACTTCTTGAAATTATCTTACTAAGTTCTTATAAGATCGGATCCTTTAAGATTTTGATAAGATAAGCTACGATCTTATAGTTTAAGGTCTTAATAAGATTCAATGACTCTGCTTGAACTTAGATCCAAACCTATTGATAAAGGAGTCCTAGCGCTTCGGGGAAATGTTCGTAGCGGCTCCACAGGGATTATTTAACTCTTGATCATCAGTGGACGGACGTAACCAAATTTGAATACGAAACTTGGTTTAAGCGAAGATCAGTTGTCAGTTTCAACAAAAAAAAATCCACCAGAGTGAGGAACTTCAGAAAAGTTCGACGACTTCGGCAGCTGGGCGAGAAATCTTAGTTATCCATCGGCGACGGCAGCGGCGCGGCGCACAGATTTATGTGTAAGGTGGTGTCGGCCTTATTATCGATTTTGAAATTGTTCACCATTAAAAATGATTTAAATGGATCATTATGGTTTAAGGTGATTTTGATCTGCATAAAGTCATTATTCATCATCAATAAGTAAAAGCACGCTAAGAAAGGTGTGTGCGAACCGGTAGGATATTAACAGTCTGTTCATTGTGCATTATGCATTGTTCAATAGTTGTTTTTACTACACAAGCAGTTCGGATTGAAAAATAGATTAATCAATGACTCATAATAAAACACTACATATACTCATTTTTTGAATAGTATATTGTGGCTGCGTACATTAAATTAACATCTTTAACACTTAAGTGAAAGAGATTCTGCCGCGTATTCATTAATGGCCTCAGCTGGTGTCTGTCTATATCCTTTTGGATGACAAACAGATGACAATCATGAGCATGAATTACAAATGACAGAAAACTATAGAACAGTGGGTCGCAACTAATGACAGAGTTTCTTCTTCTACTTTAATAAATAGTGAACCGCTGAAGAAGCTATATTAAGTACATATCGCTGCTGCTTTGGTCGAAATAATATTTCAAAAATATAGCATTTTTTCGGGGTTGAAACTGACCAAGAATTGCATTGCTTGGTTCGAGCAGTTTGTTGTGTCCAAAAATATATTTATATCAATAACTTTCTAATTTTTTGAAAAAGAGCGAGAAAAGGAAACCATTTGTTGGACAAATCCTTAGGTCCTTTTTCGATACAGAAAGGTTACTCACAGCCACAGGTACTCCCTATCTTTTTATTTTGTTTCACGTACAACTGACTGAAATCCTTAAGGAGCTCGGCCACCGTTCTTTTGCGGACGAGCTTTCAATTGTAATGATACTAATAGTTTCTTTTCTTTCTATCTGAATGATAATCGGCCCCGGATATACACTCGGATGATTGCCTGGTTGCAGTCAAGAGTTATCCGTCTGCCCTGGTAGTGATGGTGCTCTTCGTTCAACACAAAACAAATATCTAGAACAGAAGATATTAATAAGCATGAACCGCGCGTTATGTTTATCTTGAAAAATTACAAACAACTTTACCCGAGTAATGCAAGTGGTATACATCCTGCTATGGCCGAAATGAAAAATACCAGTCCAGAGTAAACGTGTAATGTTGAATAATAGATTCCGTTTGCTAGGGCACCCATTGCGTGGCTACCCACAGCTTCGACGATCCCGGCAGCAATAAACACGACAGCATACTCGTCTTCACCGACCAATTTTGTTATTTTAGAACGCATCGTAGGCATGGTCACATAATAGATGCTCCCAATTAACGTAGCTAAAATAGATTGATAGAGACAGAGACTCCCAATCAACACATCATAACTTGAAAGTGCTCGAAATTCGAGTTTTAAAACAGCCCCATGGTTCTCGAAAATCACTCATCGTAGAGCGATGAAAACTTCGGTGATAATAGTTCTTGATGAGTTAGTAGTAAAAAAGTTCGCCTAGCAATATTTTTCGACGATTATGTTGTTTCAGAGATACAGAGATCATACGCGCACACATTTTCCACATGTAGTTCTGAGAATATATTATGGCCATTTTTGTTAGTTTTGAAGTAAAATACATCAATGTAGATAAATCTATCTTTTGAAGCTAAGTTCTTTTCCTCTTTCGCTCGATATAGTCACAAGAAAGAGTAGAACAATGGAGTGAAGAATGTCAGAGTATATACATTATGTGACGGCAAAATTTATTTTTCTTGCATAATTCTCGTGCGATGGGTTTTCCTTTACTTATTTAACATATATACCTATATAGCAATTACATCAGAACCATTCTCGAATTGCAATCATCACTATACATGATCTGATCTGAATAGTTAATTAGGGAAAAGTCGATGAATTCTTGCAAACCAAATTTGCTTCCTATATAAGAGCCATTGCAGATAAGCGACGACCAAGTACTGAACTCGTGAGAAACCAGCTCAGTAAGGCTCAGCCTTTTAGCATCGATACTAGAAGAGTGGAGTGACAAAACCGCAAAAGAAAAACTTAGGACTTCCAAGAGGAACGCGAGATATTGAATTTTTAGTGAAATTTCGCAATCGACGGATAGACTCAATCCATATAAAACCTACCACCATTTGCATCGACCTTTGTCGTCACTGACGAGAACTATCTCATATTATAGAGCTCAGCAAGCTGAACCGAATGGTGAAAATCGCTAGTCTCTAGCCTTGTTAGAAACAAAGTTATAGCCATTTTATCCCCGTAGCGGAAAAATGCATCTTCGTGATTTTTGGCGGCTTTCGCCGAACTTGCAGAGCGTCTACGACTACATTACCTAAGGTAGGACTTTGAACCTGGTATCAAATGAAAGAGCGCGTCGGGTTCTATATATTTCCATGAAGAAAAGTTATGCTACGCCTTGGGGTCTTGAAATAGAGATTTCTGAAAAACACGGTTTTCTAGAAACCTAGTAATTTTAAACTTTCTTTTAGAAGTTTTTCAACCATATCATTTGATAGCCCTTTCAATTCTCCACAAAATGAGATTTTGGTGAAGTTTCTGCAATCTTGGACGACCGAGTTACAGGCTTTTTCACATTATGTAAATATTGTTGCGGAAAGGTCTCATTTTACACCGAACAGTTCATTCTACAAAATTATCGGGGCGTGAAAATAAGAACAGGGTTAACAAAAAATAAAATCAGAAAATTGATCATTTTTTTGGTTTTAACGGGAAATTTTAAAAAGTTTATATCCGTGGAATAAAATAATGTCTACAGTTGGGACGATTCCCATTTTGAAGAACACTGTTCTCTAAATGGCAGCAGTTAACTCATTTTTGAAAAAACAGAAAATTTGGCAACCGAAAAGGAAGCTGCTCTCAAAAGAAAAGAACGAGGAGACATTACTAACCGATATATAGAACCCACGTTGTTTTAGCTACACCAAATAAAATTAAATGTATCAAATATGTACATGTACCAATAATCGGAAAGAGAAAACTTTGTAGTAGATCTATTTTTGTTAATCGTGTGAACAGAAGTATCGCCGCCGACACGAGAACCATTGATACTGTTCCCGCACACGACAGTATGCTCGCTCGGAGTGAATTAAAACAAAATGGTTGCCCGTATAAATAGACAAGATGAACCGATGTTGAAGAAAACAAAATTAATTGAAGAAGAATTGATGTTATTGTCAAACAAATAAGAGTTGGACGACGACTGGGGGGATCACGTTTAACAGAAAATACTTTGAATATTCTTGCGAGAGGCTTCTTGAAGCGGATTAACCTTAATTTCCCTAATAGTGACAAATGTTTAACGCTCTGAGTGGATTCAGGTTGAACCACGAGCGCATAGAGCAGTCCAAAACTACTGAGAGTTAAATTCACACTCGTTGGCGTTGTATAACCCTTATATTTCAGCCACAAACCAACAGCCAGTAGGGGAACAATCCTGACCACGGCGGCGGCTACTTCTGTCAGTAGAAACGCTCTTGTACGCTGTTTCGCCATCGTACAATCAGTAATATAGGCTAACGAAGCTAACATTACCAGGCCGGAGGTACCAAACGTACTGTCTAATGTATAAGCAATAATCAGCCATATGTCCGCCAGATTCCGTTCAACAACAATTAACAGTAATGTGTAGCGTACAACTTTACCCACAAACGGGATGATAAGCAAGGGTTTTCTTCCAATCGTATCACAATTCGAGCCCAATATAATAAATGTAATCACAGCTGGAACAGCCGATGCGATTGATGTGATAACGTTCAGTTTTGATACCGCTTTCTGTACGAGATGGTACGTGGGAGCTAACGGTCCTTGCTGTTGTGGTAGATCAATCTTAGGATAATACTGGTAATATCGTCGCGGTATTGGAGTAGTCGTCGATTTTGATTGTTGTAAACAACTCGTGCGTTCTGCTGTTTTGGATGAGTCTAAATGATAGTAGCGCTCGTAACGTGTGAAAATAAAATCGTTCATAAAAAGTGGATCAGCCGTTGTTAGAATCATCATTATCAATAGACACGGTACAACTAGCCACCACCGGGGTGACGCTGGTTTAGTAGCTTCGATCAATGGTGGTGTCGTTGACGACGTTGACATAGCAACAGCGATTTCATACGATGGCCGACGCGGCACCCGCTGTGGAATGGGATAATAGTCTGTGAATGAAGCGAGAGAAGAAACAATCCCCGAAAGAACTGAATTGGGTACCCCTCTACCTTTTAGTTGAGGATGTGAACTGATATTACTCTTCGGCAATTCCAGACGATAATGTTGGTAGTGACGTTTATTGTTGCTGCCGTTTAAACCCGTTGACCTTGTTGCAACACGTCGCTGACTTGCAGCTGTCTCCCCGTTTTTCCTAGGTCGCTGCTGATCACGAATATTAAGGCTGTTTGTTAACTCCATAGACTTTCTCTGGATTCTGATTTAGAAAAACGGACTTTAAGAACACCCAAAGTTTCTAAATTGAAAATTTTATTTGAGTTTTCTAACCTAACAAGATAGAGGACTAAAGTTAAACACATTAGGTAATTTTCAGCCTTCCCGGATGAGTCCCAAAGGCAAAATAATTTTTTCAGGTTGTATGTTCTGTGGTTCGATTTTCTAGAACATTATCTCCCATTGTTCATGCTTTTTATAAAAGCCTAAGAGTTGCAGAATATAGTTAATTTCTTCAAGAAATGGACAGATTCGAAACTTTTCGAGTTTTCACTCTTGTTTATTGATTATTAGTAGCTCTGTTTCAAGAATATACTGATTATGGATAATAGCAGCCTTTTAACTATTTTCATTTCTGTCTTACATATATTATTTTCTCACTACCACGGTCCGAAGAGAAAGCCAGAAAGTCGTGGTCAGAAAGTTCTCTGAAAACTCATTTAGCGTATTAATTTGCATAGTAAGCTGCTTTTTCGTACGCTCATCTGTGATATTGGCAGCCTTTTAACTCAAAAATCAAGGGGTAGCTATTTTTAAAGAAATAGCTTGGCATAAAGTACACTTCAAACTGTTAGAAAAACTGAAGAAGGATGCCTTCAAATTTCTTAACTTTTTAATCCGGGAAGTTGTCAGAATAACACTAGTTTTGTACTGAGTGCAATCTCTCTTTTGGATGAAAAGACAGATTTGTTGTTTGTTGTTGTTGTTCCTTTCTCCATTCTAGCTTCATATAGTGTGCATAGAAAGAAAAAAAGATCAAAGTAAAGAAAATGACATAAAAGAGAACAGCAAGAAAGCAGCATCTTTGATGTCTACTGTTGAATATAGTGTAAGATACCTAAAAAAAGAAAACCTACAGCGGAGCCCACGATCCAGAAAACGCGAATCTTTGCTGAGATCTTTGAGTGGTACAACGTAACTCGCCGCGCTGATTCCAAATATCAAATTTTCAAAAATTCCGTTTCTCTAGAAAAAAATCATCAAATTTTGATATGAGACATCCTGTATGCCGACACACCTATTTTAGCCGAATTTGTTCGAGCTAAAAGAGAAAGATTTATTGCTATGAGGATACTTACGTTGGTGAAAATATCTACAACACAAAACACGCAAAAGGTATTTCAATGTACTATTGTAATACAGTAATTATTTGATCAAAGTATAATTGTATGTGCACCTGTCACATTTTACATTGGCATCATCATTCAGAAAAGAAAATTTTGTACGTGTTTTTATTTATGTTAACCTCACATTAATAGAATCATTCTTTTTTCAGCCTTCATCGTTGTTTCTTTTTTTCTTTTTCTTTCTATTTTATTCAATTCTGTTTTCTAACGTTCGTTTTCTTCGTTCACCTTCTCTGCTCGTTATATATTCTAACCAATACTAATTATTACTGTAGAATAATTGTTATTTTGCGTGTGTGCGATAAACGAAAAAAGTAACATCAATAGAAGTGAAACTAATGGTTGGTTGACAAATGGAATAGTGAGGTAGACACCCATTCGATGAAGTCCACTTGAGCCTATACTAAGTTATGAATTCGACCTGTATGAAGTGGTCGATACCCTATGAAATCACCTTTTAGCTATTAAGACCACTGAACGGAGCTGACAGCCATTTCTCGCATAAGCTCCTCAGTCCTCTCGTCCAAGCTATCCGTCGAAACGCTCACAGCACGTAGCGGCACATTTTCAGGAAGATTCCGAAAACTTTTGACCTGATCATATCCCCTTAACGACTTATGGAACTTGCTATTACAGTCTATAGATCTGATATTATCGATCGACGAAAGCCGATTTTGGGAGGATTCATATACGGCTCAGGGACGCCAGAGGAGGTCTCCAAAAAATTACTTTTTTAAAATTGACTTTTGATAGGTTTGTCGTATCTTAAACGAAAACAAAGTGGTTGGGGAGTGGACTTAGACATATGCCGGGGGGGGGGGGGGAATTGACAGTACCGGCCCAAATTAGGGGTTTTTAATTTTTAAAAAATTAAAAAAACGGGGTTGACATTGCCGGATTTAAAAACAGGTGCCGGTTTGCGGTAATAACGTGCAGTTTTTGCCCC